TATGAGGAGAGGCTAAGGGATTTGAGTTTGTTTTGTCTGCAGAAGCGAAGAGTGAGGGGGGATTTGATAGCAGCCTCCAGCTTCCTGAAGGGAGGTTCCAAAGAGGATGGAGAAAGGCTGTTCTCAGTGGTGAAAGATGGCAGAACACGGAGCAATGGTCTCAAGTTACAGTGGGGGAGATGTAAGTTGGATATTAGGGAAAACTATTTTACTAGGAGGGTGGGGAAGCACTGGAATGGTGGAATCACATCCCTAGAGGTGTTTAAGTCTTGGATCGACAAAGCCCTGGAGGGGTTGATTTAGTTGGGATTGGTCCTGCCTTGGGCAGGAGGCTGGATTGATGACCTCCTGACATCTCTTCCAGGCCTAAGATTCTATGATCCCATCATGACTTCTGACCCAGTCCCAGATGCTGAGAGTTGCACCAGACATTCCAGATAGCTAGTCACGTTTTGGTGCAGGGTTTTTTTCAGGGCCATCCCAGTAGCTTACCAGGCCACTCCACTGATAGATGTGCTGTTCAGTCACTATATATTTGAATAGTAATAGAGAGGTAGCCATGTTCGTCTGGTCTAGCTGAAACCTAAGACAGGACTATGCAGCACTTTAAAGACTAACAAGATGGTTTATTAGGTGATGAGCTTTCGTGGGCCAAACCCACTTCCTCGGATCAAATTGTATCCCTTTGGTCATGCCAATTTTCTTCCACAATTTGATCTGAGGAAGTGGGTCTGGCCCACGAAAGCTCATCACCTAATAAACCATCTTGTTAGTCTTTAAAGTGCTGCATAGTTCTGTCTATATATTTGAATGTTTCAGTTGCATACACTGATCGCTTCCCAAGGGCAGCTCAGCATAACACCTCCCTTTGCCAATCAGGCGCCACAAGAACCATTATAGCCTCCAAACTGTGGAAAGCCTGAAATTGTACAAATCCCTTTTGTAGCATGGCCGGAGCTGCCCCCCTACATCCAAATGCTTCTGCTCTCTTCAGGGGAAAACAGCCTTTTTAATTTTCAATTGTGTCAGTGCTTCTTTCACTGTGAATAACCTGACTGTGTTCGAGGAACGTCTCTGCATCCCATTCACAATATATTGACATTCCGTTTGGAAAAGTAACATTTTAATGTCTTTCAGATTCGCAAGGATATTTTCTGTGCTCCTGTATTGAGCTCTGAGAGACAATAACCTCGTGTCGTGTCCTATTCCAGGCCACTCAACCACTGCCTGTGTAGCTCCATAGCTCGCCCACACTGCAACAGGAGCCTGGATCAATCTACCTTTCTTTGTGGCACCAACAGGAAGCATTTCTGTGATGAACTCACAGCTGAATTTCTGCAGTCAACAAGAAGGCACAGCGCTAAGCAAACAGAGGGGCTATGTCTACACTCGCCCCTTCTTCGGAAGAGGCATGCTAATTTCTAACTTTGGAATAAGGAAATCCGCGGGAGATTTAAATATCCCGCGCGGGATTTAAATAAACATGGCCACCGCTTTTTTTCCGGCTTGGGGAAAAGCCGGAAAAGAGCGTCCAGACTGGCACGATCATCCGGAATAAAGCCCTATTCCGGAGGATCTCTTATTCCTACTTGAAAGGCGGCCATGTTTATTTAAATCCCGCGGGGGATATTTAAATCCCCCGCGCATTTCGGGTCTTGAGAAAGAGGAAAGGTATGGTGAGAGGCAACAGGAAAAGCGCAGGCTGGTGCATAGTATGGAGGACAAAGTTGCGGGACCAGACTTTTGCTTCATAGTCCCTAGAAAAGGAACAGCAGCTGTTGGAAGATGAGAGAGCTCAGCAGAAAACTGTTTGAGTGTCTGCTGTCACTAGTGACTGCAGAAGTATCCTGCTGCACCCACACTATGGCCCAAGTCCCCTTTCTGGTACCATGGGCTGCAGCACAGACAGAGCTTGGACATCTCGGATTACAGGATTTGAACTCTGGAAAGCTGGGTTCCTATTTGACCTTTATTACCTGGTGTGTGGCTTAGCTCAGCCTCTGCTTCAGCCAACACTAAAATCAGTTACACTGATTAAAATAAGTTGATATAAATCGGCCTTAAAAAAATTTTGCTTCTTGGTGGTGACATGATTATCTGTTCTTTTCATTCCTTCTGGGGCACCTGGCATTGGTCATGGTCTGAAACAGGATACTGGGCTAGATGGACCTTTGGTCTCACTCACTATGGCTATTCTTATGTTCTTAAACTTAATGGATGGCACTGGGTAAGCAAGCAGAATGGAGAGAGGCTGTTCTCAGTGGTGACAGATAGAAGAACAAGGAGCAATGGTCTCAAGTTGCAGTGGCATGGTGGGGTCTAGGTTGGATATTAGGAAAAACTATTTACCTAGGAGAGTGGTGAAGCACTGGAATGGGTTTCCTAAGGAGGTGATGGAATCTCCATCTCTACAGGGCTGTGTCTACACTGGCCCCTTCTTCGGAATAGGCATGCTAATTTAGAACTTTGGAATAGGGAAATGCGCGGGGGATTTAAATATCCCCCACGGGATTTAAATAAACATGGCCGCCGCTTTTTTTCCGGCTTGGGGAAAAGCCGGAAAAGAGCGTCCAGACTGGCACGATCCTCCGGAATAAAGCCCTATTCCGGAGGATCTCTTATTCCTACTTGAATAAGAGGAATAAGAGATCCTCTGGAATAGGGCTTTATTGCGGAGGATCGCACCAGTCTGGACGCTCTTTTCCGGCTTTTCCCCAAGCTGGAAAAAAAGCGGCGGCCATGTTTATTTAAATCCCACGGGGGATATTTACCAGACTGGCGCGATCCTCCGGAATAAAGCCCTATTCCGGAGGATCTCTTATTCCTACTTGAATAAGAGGAATAAGAGATCCTCTGGAATAGGGCTTTATTGCGGAGGATCGCACCAGTCTGGACGCTCTTTTCCGGCTTTTCCCCAAGCTGGAAAAAAAGCGGCGGCCATGTTTATTTAAATCCCACGGGGGATATTTAAATCCCCCGCGCATTTCCCTATTCCAAAGTTCTAAATTAGCATGCCTATTCCGAAGAAGGGGCCAGTGTAGACATAGCCCAGGTGTTTAAGTCCCGGCTTGACAGAGTCCTGGCTGGGATGATTTAGTTGGGGTTGGTCCTGCCCAGGGCTGCACTTGATGACTCCTGAGATCTCTTCCAGCCCTAAGATTCTGTGTGTGCATGTGCAGACCCATTTGTGCAATAATTTTGCAAAACTGATATATATTTACAGATCTGAGATGGCTGACTCATTCATTAAGAAGTTATCTTGGTTAGTAACTGGCTTGTGAACTGATACTGATTTCCCTGGAATGTCTACTGTTTATAAATGTCCACTGAATAACTTGAATGAACAATGGCCAGATTGTAGCTTATTTACAAATTGTTCACTTCAACTATTTGCTATTTCTGTTGTTCACTTGGTCAACTGAATTGTGTGTACATTTTCTGCACCTTAACTGGATGACTGAGCTTTTTAAAACATGAACGAATGACAAATACTGAATAAGGTATAGTAATAATACATGGCTACGTCTAGATTGCATCCCTTTTTCGTAAAAGGGATGCAAATTAGACGTATCGCAATTGCTAATGAAGCGGGGATTTAAATCTCCCCCGCTTCATTAGCATAAAAATGGCTGCCGCTTTTTTTCGGCACGGAGCTTTGCCAGAAAAAAGTGCCAGTCTAGACACGGATCTTTCAGAAAATAAAGCAAGATCCTTTATTCCTCTTAAAATAAGGGATAAGGGATCTTTCGGAAAAGGCTTTATTTTCCGAAAGATCCGCGTCTAGACTGGCGCTTTTTTCTGGCAAAGCTCCGAGCCGGAAAAAAGCGGCAGCCATTTTTATGCTAATGAAGCAGGGGAGATTTTAAATCCCCGCTTCATTTACAATTGCGATACGTCTAATTTGCATCCCTTTTACGGAAAAGGGATGCAGTCTAGACACAGTCCATGAGTCTTACCTAATGCTGTACACCAGATCTCAACACACTTTACCAAGGAGATTGGCATCATCCCGTTTTACAGACAGGGAAACACAGGAAATTATTTGTTTAAGGTCACATAACAGGTTAGTGACAGAACTGGGACTATATCCGAGTCTCTTAGGCAGAGCTCAGACCTCTAGGATAGGGCCCACTCTTTCTAGTACACATTTTCAGACTACTAATTTGTTCGAAACTATGGGAGACCTTCTGGATTCAGAATTGTTTTCATAAGTGACTGCTGACTGGCCAGACGCGAATGGCTTATGGATTCCATGAATGATAGCAACCTGAATATGGCACTTTTATTCGGAACAAAGCCTTCGCCCCTGTTTTCGGTTTGGATCCTTCCCCTGCGCCAACGGAGCCAGCGTCCATTTTCGCTTTCAGGCGCGTATTTTGCTTCCAATGCCAAATGCTCGGGTCTAGGAATTTCCTGACGGGGGGGGGGGGGGGAGAGGGGGGGTCGAGGGACACACGGGGCACAGGAGAGTGGTGCAGCCCCTTTGCCTAGCCTCCCAGCTCTAACCAATCAGTTTCCCCTCCCCCATCCCCTTCCCACAGCCAGCTGGAGCTGCTCAGCGCCGGCTGCCTTCCCTTTGCTCTGTTGACAGAGGCAGTTATGGTGGGGTTGCAGGTGTGTGACTCACTCAAGTCACGAGCTCTGTCTTCCCCAGCAGCCGCAGCCAGCTCACCTCTTGGCGGCCCTGGGGAGGGGAGGAAGCCGCCCGACAGTCTGAAGTTCAAGCATTACAGGTGGTTATGCGCACACGAGCTGCGCTAGTCATACCCTGTTCGGAACAAAGGACACATCCGCTTCTTTGCCAGCAGATTACTCCCCGGCCAGTGTCCACCGCTCTGCCACCATCAGTTAAAACCCGCTGAGTCACGGCGAGTTTATGCTCTTGCTCAGCCCTTGCTTCTGCTTTAGTCACACACGCAGGCGTGCTGGAAAACAAGCCACAGAAGATCACACCCCCAAAACAGAGACACGGGCCTAGAAACGTGACCCACTTTAGGAAAGGAATAAAAACCTGCGTAGCGCAGAACAGAAGCCGAGATTTTTTTCAGCCAAATATTTCCCATTTGATGATTTGCCCCTCCTCCTCCCCCCGTCCCTAGTTCTTCCCATACGTGCCTGTAATGGATCCGAAATGCTAGCAGGTATCGGATAGACAGTAAAGAAAGAGAATTTATATTTGAGTTTATTATTATTTTGCTTTGCAGCACATGATCCTCCCCTTTCACATGGAGTGGTTTAGCCCTGAAGCCCGTTTGTATCAGGAGTGTGTGGCTCAACCCATAGGACACAGAGTGGAGGGGGGAGACTAATTTTAAAATATATTTGAAAGAGTAAGCAGGGCCGTATTTTCAGTGATGCAGTATCGCATGATAATTCCGTGTTTGCACATATATCTTCGTGTATTTCATTAACAACCGTGTGCAAATGCGATTTAATTAATGTACAGTCTCTCCCTATTCTACAGGTGAAATGGTGCAGCCTAGAATGATGGAAGCTTCTCCCTGTGACATCACAATGCTGAATTTGCTACATCGTTGTTTGTGTTCCATGATCAGCTGTATTTCTGTAACCTGGGAAATTGACAGAAGAATTCAAAGCAGCACCGAAAACTCTCAGCTTACCCCAGAATTTGCTTGAAGCCTATATCTTTGATATCAAAGGCTTTAGAAGACACTTTAAATCAACAATCTCAAAAGGAAAAACTTGAGACACCAAAAAAACCCAGCATGAAGTTCCAGTACAAAGAAGATCATCCTTTTGAATACAGAAAAAAAGAAGGGGAGAAAATCAGAAAGAAATATCCAGACAGGGTCCCTGTGAGTGGAATATATTATTTTTCTTAGTATAGTGTATTGATTGCTGCCACCTTCTGTTCTTGATTTGCAGCTGATTATATTTTGCAAACAATTTGTGTAGCCTTGGTTTTATCAAATATTCTGTGGCTTATATTTTAAGGGTGAGGGATTTTTAAAGGATTTGGGGGTTGTTATTACTATATGTCCTGATCAGCTTTTAATCTGCTGTTTCCTGATCTGTGTTTATAGAACTATATCTGTTTGAGCTATGTTTATATACAAAGAATGATGCTATTTTAATATGTAAATGAGTGGTGGGGTCTATCTTGCTGCTCTCTCCACCCCCATAATCTGCAGCAATTTAGCAGGGAAAAATGCTGTTCATCTTTCTTATGACAGTCTCTGTGCATGTTGTGGGGAAGTGAGGAAAGTTAACCATTTTCTTTGCAAAAATGGTGGAAAATAGTATGTGAATTAATCATATAACCTTCATGGGGAAAACTGGAGGGCCTCTATGATGCCACCAGAGATCTTCCTTTCCTTTTAGTAGTTTTGTTTTGTCTTTTCAATACAACTGTGCTCTATCCTTGTCCTTGCATGTATGAGAAGATTTATAGCAATCACTCAGTCTTTTGACATCTCATTTAATCTCTTTGTGGGGAAAAAAAAATCACGTAGAAAACAAGGTCACGTTCTCTCAGCCTAGCTGTGCTTCCTCATTCTGAGGTCCCTTTAGAGTGTTTTTGGAAAACTTCTACCTTTATTATAGTAATTAGAAAAGGGAAATGGCGAACTAAATTGATTTCTGTGGTTTCTTTTATTCGGTATATTCCAAATGTTCTTTCTTTTCATCCCCATTGGAGATGTCTGTCCTAGATTCAGGGGCTTCCTTCCAAAATAGTCTGTAATCCCCTATGGACACAAGGGGAACGAAAAACCTTGCCACACATTTTTGCCGCAATTCAGCACCATTTTCTTCTTTACTAGAGAGGCCCCATGATTGAACTTGCAAGCATTTTTGCAGGTTAGAATTGAGGTAGTGCCTAGGCATGTTGAGCACAGGACCAGAGTGGTAGGTGGGGATTGTTGCTAGTCAGAAATGAGATTCAGCGCCTTAGGCCTGGGATAATAAAGGGTGCCGCAGGTCAGAAGTGAGGTCAGGATTTGTGCTGCAGTCTGCGAATTAGAGTAGCAGGTTGTTCTGTGGGTAATGATGGATATGCATTGCAAGGGCTATGCGGAGGCCAGAACAGGAATAGCAAAGAGTGAGGCAGGTCAGGATTGAGATGCATTGGCAGATCTGGGCGGGGGTGGGAGGTGGGGAGGGGAAACTAAAACAGCGTGATATGCTGCAGGTTAAGGTGAAGAAGAAACTCTGTGTGCAGAGGCCCAGACGGGAACAGCAGGAGGAAGTCCATTCAGCCACAGTGGAAAATACCTTCCTCAGAACCATTAGAAGAGGGCTACGTCTACACTGGCATGATTTTCCGGAAATGCTTAAAATGGAACAGTTTTCCGTTATAAGTATTTCCGGAAAAAGAGCATCTACACTGGCAGGATGCTTTTCCGGAAAAGCCCTTTTTGCGGAAAAGTGTCCGTGGCCAATGTAGACGCGGTTTTCCGGAAAAAAGCCCCGATTGCCATTTTCGCGATCGGGGCTTTTTTGTGGAAAAGACTACTAGGCTGTCTACACTGGCCCTTTTCCGGAACAGTTTTCTGGAAAAAGGACTTTTGCCCGAGCGGGAGCAGCATAGTTTTTCCGGAAAAGCAGCAGACTTCTTACAGTAGATCGTCAGTGCTTTTCCCAAAATTCAAGGGGCCAGTGTAGACAGCTGGCAGCTTATTCCGGAAAAGCAGCTGATTTTCCGGAATAAGTGGTCCAGTGTAGACACAGCCGAGCTGTATAGGAGATAATAGGAATTATCTGGCAAGCTTTTTTCAGTTATTTCTGTGACTTACTTTGCAGTGCACCCAGCAGATCTAAGCATTGTAATTGAGATGAGAGTGTTGGCACCCTCCCACACTACAGCAAACACCACCCATGACAATCAGGAGTTAATCTGCATTTGCCCTTTGGTTTTTCCTTTACTAAATGCCTCTCTCTCTCTCTTTCTGCAAACAGATTGTCAGGCCTTTGGGATCAGAATCCAGGGTGGGGGATGGACATAAAGTTCTAGTGACAGTTTGGATGGAGTATGGCTATTTTGAGAAGGTTTCAGGTTCTTAAGAATGGACACCTGGACAACTTAATTATTCAGACAAACCGAGTATCTATTCAAGCCAGTCAACCAAACATCCCCATACCATTTCTATCTCTTTAGAAGTGGTAGTTTCTGTTGGATGCCAGTGCTTTCTAGGGGGTGGTAATCCCAGTACCATCCCTTCTTCCTCCCCAGGTCCATACTTATTGTGACCTCGCCTTTCTTCCCTATCATGGGAAAAATCTTACTGGAATTCAATCTTTTATATAAAAAGGTGGCTTCATTGCTGCTTTCACTAAGTACTTCTTGTCAGTATCTTGGGAAATTGGAGGACAGAATGACTGTGGGGCTGTACTTTTCCTTCCCTCTTCTAGTCTTTTCCCCAATTTGCCCCCAACCCAGGCATACACTACACAGTTACATCCAGCAATACCATGACGTGCCCCAAGTGGTTAAGGTAATGGACTGCTAAGATACCATTCTTCATCTGATGATATAAGAATCCCAAACTATTCCTCATTAACAACATCCTCCCCACATCAACATGTTTACAACATCCTTTATACACACACATATATGCACACACCAAACTATCTCAAATCCATAAATCCATTCCACTCTCTACACACACATGCAGTGTCTTGGGAGAGTAAAATTTCCAAACTTATAGAGCTACTAGGATGCACATTTTGAAAACCATCCTGTAATTTCATGTACTAATATTTAGTTCAGAGCTGCTGGGATCTGCAACTCCCATTGACGTCAGCTGGAGCTGTGAGTACTTAGAACCTCGGCAATTCAGGCTCCAGGTGCTTCACTTCAGATACACAAAAATACAGGCCATTTTTGAAAATTTGGGTATAGGTATTTCTTGCCCTAAATTGCTCAGGTCAAGCACGGAAAATTCTGCCTCTCATTCTAGGAAAATGGCTTTGGGTGAATAATAGGCCATGGACTTCAAGATGCGACCAATCACTGCTCGTCATGTTCAAAATGAAAACTGCAAAAGCTTGCCTCCATGTTTTTTTCCCCCACAGAGAAATCATATCGTCCCAATGTAATTTGTTTCCAACTTTTGAATGGTTTCCCAGGCTCAGCAAAAAATGCCTAATTGCTTAACTTTTCATGGAAGCTGCTCAAACCATCATCTCTCTCTCTCTCTGCTATTTAAGTACTTGTTCATTTTGGGTTACATATTTGTCCAGTTCTACTTGCAAGTATTGCTTCCATAACTCTAAACCTCTTTGCCTATATAACTTTGTCTGCTTCTCTTTATATTCTATTACACAACATATACAGGTAATTAGACTGTGGAACTCATTACCACAAAATATTATGATGGCCAAGACCTTAGTAGATTTAAAAAGTGTTTTAGACATGTGGATAAATATAAGGAATGTAAATCTTCATGCTACCTCTATTTATATATCTATCGCTAACCACTCAGTAATTGGGTCAGGAAGAGATTTCCCATGTGGACTGACAATTCTGGAATGGGGTTCCTCTGAAGCATTACTAATGGCTACTGTTCGAGATTGTAACTATTTGGACTGATGTGATTTTGCAGTTCCTGTGGTCCAACCTTACAACTGTACTTTACTCTTTGATACTTACTATTCCAGTCAGGAGCTCTCCACAAGGTACCACTACTGCCCCACTCTGCTGTCCTGTATCTCCCTTGCTTTTTGAGTATTGTTCCCTAGCAGAGCTTGAGAGAATTTCCATGGGCCTGTGAGAACTGTCACTTTTAAGGGACCAGTTGTTATTTTTCCAGTGATACTTTTTGGTCTGCTTACTTTGGTGAGTCTCATGTCTTATTTCTCCTCTTGCAGGTTATTGTAGAGAAGGCACCCAAAGCCAGAGTACCTGACCTGGATAAGAGGAAGTACCTTGTGCCTTCTGACCTCACAGGTAACAACCTCCAGTGAGGAAGTTCCCAGGAATTCTTTGCACTGATATCATCATCATAAGAATGTCCTTTGCTGAGGGAATAAGAGACACAAGTAGGCAGCGTGTCTAGAGATTGGAACAGGGAAATGGAACTCCTGGATTCTAATCTCAGTTCTGCTTTGGACTTGCCATCTGACCTTGAACAAGCCACATAATCTCACTTTATCTTAATTTCCCCTGTGTACTTATTGAACAAACCTATCTCACTCGGGGGCGGGGGGTTGTGGAATTTAATTAGTGTTTGTAAAGTACTTGGAGCTATTCTGATGAATGGCACTGTCTATTACACTGTATTCTAACAATCTTGGTATTGCATATGTGTCACCACTGCCTTTTATTACCATAACAATGATTTAGCAGTGCATCAGCTAACACCCAGTGATGCTTATGGCCAGTGATCTTTGGAGCAGGAGGATGGGAATTTGCTAAATGTTCCTACCATGAAATTCTGACCAGCCATGGAATGTAGCACAGTGAATGTCATGAAGTGCCATTCCAAATAATGATGAGTTTATCACTGTATGATTAAGTCTGAATCTATTTGGGAATGTGAAAAATATACATATAGTAATGATAGGAAATATATTTTTCCTGTGGTAAATGGTTAACTACAGAACTCGCTCCCATGGACTAGGGATCAGGCAAATATTTAGGACTGAGTATGTTTTGTGAGAATATCATCTGCAGTGACAATCACTGAAGTAAAATTTACCAGGAGCTTCAGGATTTAAAGTTTTGGCTGATTATATGTTGGTTAGAAATCCCTGTGTCCCTCCCTTCACTAAAGCGCTGAAGGCTAAAATGAAGTGTAGGTTCCTGTCAGAGATTGAATATGAGACTAGAGTATCTGATGGTCTGAATCAGTATGGTAGAAAATGAAATACTGGTCCAGTCAGGACATGGGCCACCTTAGGGAGGCTAGGGATGGGACAGTGGACAGGATGGTAGGTAGGGTTAGGGTTAACATCCTTTTTCCTAATCTTTACATAGCGCTTGGGCCCAGATCAATTTCAGTTTCACGGTAAGAAGAGGTCACGTTATCAAATCCCAGTTTTCAACCCATTTATATTTTGGTGAGGAGGGTCAGAATTCCAGCCTGGATCCACATTTTATTGCAGACCTTTGTGTTTTTAATAGGCTGAACCAAAATCCCAAACTCAAACGATATAGCTCTGAACTTTGTACTAGAGGGCCAGGGATTTGTGGGACAGGACTGAGGGGTAACAACTGGAATAGCAACGAGCTGCAGGACCGCACTGAGGAGAGCTGATAGAGTAGGGTTTTAGTGCCAGAAGAGCAGGAGATACACACAAACCTCTGCAAACACAACTGAACATTGTGTATCAATCGTTCTCTGGGTTTTTTTAATCTTTGATCCCTGTATCAAACTCATCCATCTTCTATTATTTCTCTTCCCTTTGTATCGCTCTTCAGTTGGCCAGTTCTACTTCTTAATCCGAAAGAGGATCCACCTGAGGCCAGAGGATGCCCTATTTTTCTTTGTCAATAACACCATCCCTCCCACTAGCGCTACTATGGGTCAGCTGTATGAGGTAAGCACAACCCATCTGCTTGTTATATTGCTGTAGTAGTGGCCTAAACAACTCATACTCTAGAATAATTTTACATATTGGACCCCTGACTCAGCGCTGCACCACTGTTTCTTAGAATTATAAAAGATTAGGATTGGAAGAAACCTCAGGAGGTCATCGAGTCCAGCCCCCTGCCCAAAGCAGAACTAAATCATCCCAGCCAGGGCTTTGTCTGATAATTCCTACTTCACATTAGCTCCTCTTTGTTGGAACTCTCCACTCTTGTTTGAATTCCATCAGCCCACTTGGAATGTTGCATTATCAGGTTAGACCAAGGGGCTTGGGGTGTTTGTCCAAGGAAACAGGAACTTTATTTGTTTGTTTATATTAATAAATTATTTATTTTCCTTTGCTAATGTAAGAGTGTTAGATTAGACATCAAAGAGTTTCCCTGGCAGGTTCCCATTTTTGTGCTACAGTGCAGTTTCCCCACAGTTCTTCCAGGACAGGTTCTGAGAGGGAATGTCAGTCTGATGATTAGAGTACAGGACTGCGAATTGGGCCTACGCTGATCTATTCAGTGATGTGTTGCTAGCATTTTAATAAATAACTGTCATATACATGCTGGCTGTATCTACACTGGCCACTTATTCTGGAAAATCAGCCGCTTTTCCGGAATAACCTGCCAGATGTCTACACTGGCCCTTTTCCGGAACAGTTTTCCAGAAAAGAACTTTTGCCCGAATGGGAACAGCATCGTTTTTCCGGAAAAGCATCCTGCCAATGTAGATGCACTTTTCCGCAAAAAAGCCCCGATCGTCATTTTCGCGATCGGGGCTTTTTTGTGGAAAAGTGCATCTACATTGGCAGGGTGCTTTTCCGGGAAAGCGCTTTTTCCAGAAAAGCGTCCATGCCAATGTAGATGCGTTTTTTCTGGAAATACTTATAACGGAAAACTGTTCCATTTTAAGCATTTCCGGAAAATTGTGCCAATGTAGACGTAGCCATTTGGTTTTGACCTGTGCTACTCACTCCTATTTCCCAGTGAATGTGTTTCTTTATAGCTCAGATGAGAGATGAATGACTGGAAAATCTGTACATTTGCTTTTCTGTTTAAACAAACACATTTTCTCTTAGACAGGGAGAGAAACCACACCAGTTTGCAAACAAACAAAATGAGTGCACTTGCTGGAAAATACACTGTGATTATTGATAACAGAGGGCAGGGACCTTTGGAAAAACTTTTATGAACCCAAAGGTCATTATCTCTGGCAGGGCTGCTTTACAGCATTCCAAGATGGTAGGACTCCAAAGCAGGAAAATCTTTTCAATCCTCCCTTCACTTTAACAGTGGCATTTTAAAAAGTGACTACTTCAAACTGCCCTTAGTGTGATCATTATCCATCAGCAATGCTGGATAGATTTTTTGTTTTGTTTTGTTTAATGAAGGTGTTAGAAGATTAAGACACCAAAGCTAATTTTCAAAGTGGAAACTTAAGAGGAAGCTTGATCTAGTTGACAGAGCTGTGCACAGGGGATGGAGAGAGCTGGGGTCTGTCCCCTCCTCAGCTGCAGGCTTTGTGTGTGAATTTAGAATCCTAGGGCTGGAGACCTCAGGAGTCATTGAGTCCAACCCCCTACCCAAAACAGGAGCTCAACTAAATTATTCCAGCCAGGATTTTGTCCAGCTAGGACTTAAAAACCTCTAGGGATGGAGATTCCACCATCTCCATAGGGAACCCATTCCAGTGCTTCACCACCCTCCTAGGGATAGTTTTTTTTTCCCCTACTATCCAACCCAGACCTCCCCCACTGCAAATGGAGACCATTGCTCCTCGTTCTATCATCTGTCACTAGTGAGAACAGCCTCTCTCCATCCTCTTTGGAACTCTCCTTCAGGTAGTTGAAGGCTGCTATCAAATCCTCCCTCACTCTTCTCTTCTTCAAATAAGCCCAAATCCCTCAGCCTACTTCATAAGTCATGTGCTCTAGCTCCCTAATTATTTTTTATGCTCTCTGCTGAACTTTCTCCAATGTATCCACATCCTTTCTATAGTTGGTGGCCCAGAATTGGATGCAATACTCCAGATGTGGCCTGACCAGTGCCAACTAAAGGGAAATAATCATTTGTCTAGATCAGCTGGCAATTTCTCCCAATGCACCTTAATATGCTGTTAGCCTTCTTGGCTACAAGGGCACATTGTTGACTCTCATCCAGCTTCTCATCTCCTACAGCTTCACTGTAATCCCCATGTCCTTTTCTGCTGAACTACTGCTTAGCCAGTCAGTCCCCAGCCTGTAACAGTGCTTGGGATTCTTCTGTCCCAGATGCAGGGCTCTGCACTTGTCCTTGTTGAACCTCATCAGATTTCTTTTGGGCCAATCCTCCAACTTGTATAGGTCTCTTTGAACCCTATCCTTGCCTTCCAACGTATCTACATCTCCTCCAGGCTTAGTGTCATCTGTAAACTTGCTGAGGGTGCAATCCATCTCCTCCCCCAGGCCATTAACAAAGATGTTGAACAAAACCAGCCCTAGTACTAATCCTTGGGGCACTCCACTTGTTACCAATCTCCAGCCAGACATTGAGCTGTTAATCACTACCCATTGGACCCAACAATCTAGCCAGCTTTCTATCCACCTCCCAGTCCATTTATCCAGTGGAAGGCAACAAAAATGATGAAGAGACTGGAGCACATGACCTATGAGGAGAGGCTGAGGGATTTGAGATGATTTAGTCTTCAGAAGAGAAGAGTGAGGGAGGATTTGATAGCAGCCTTTAGCTACCTGAAGGTGGGTTCGAAAGAGGATGGAGAGAGGCTGTTCTCACTAGTGACAGATGATAGAACGAGGAGCAATGGTCTCCATTTGCAGTGGGGGAGGTCTGGGTTGGATAGTAGGGGAAAAAAAAACTATCCCTAGGAGGGTGGTGAAGCTCTCCCTAGGGAGGTGATGGAGTCTCTATTCCTAGAGCAGTGGTCACCAACCAGTAGATCGGGATCTACTGGTAGATCTTGGAGCCTCTGACAGGTGATCCTGTCTGGTTTGGCTGGGAGGCTATCAAGGGCCAGCACTTCAGCTTCCCCTCCCCACACTGCCCTGCTGCTCTTGTCTAGAGCCGCCTCCTGGGATCATCCTGCTCGTTGTGCAGGGTGGGGGAGACAGAGGCAGGGGGCACTGATGTCTCTCTGTCCTCCTCTCCTGTACCCCAGCTTCACCGAGTGAGGAGGGCAGGGCCTTGGTGAAGGGATGGGGCAGGGACAGGGTGTTGGAGAAGGGGAGGGGCATGAGTATTTGGGTTTGAGGTAGATCCTGGACTGGCTTAAATTCAAAAAGTGATCTTGTGCTTAAAAAGTTTGGAGACCACTTCCCTAGAGGTTTTTAAGTCCCAGCCTGAGAGAGCCCTGGCCGGCTTGATTTAGTTGGGATTGATCCTGCTTTGGGCAGGGGGCTGGACTCGATGGCCTTCTGAGGTCTCTTCCAGTCCTAGGATTCCATGGCTGGTTTTGGCCCTGGTGCATGAGCCCTGTGACCCTATGTCAGTTGGACTAGTCTCTGAAGCTCACCGCAGTGAGGTTTGTTTGGTTTGGTTTCAGTTTTGGTATAGACATCATACTCCCACATTCCTCCAACTCCCTTCTCACAGACACGTAAATGGAAGCACCCATTTCTATTATTTCACAGTCATTTGGGGCAAAACCATTTCTCTGTGTGGACCAGAAACATCCACAAAGAAAGTCTGCTGCTTTGTGCTCAGCCACGTTCTTTGTGGAGGAAGGAAATAAGGTCCTGGGGGAGGAGTGAAAGACAGACACAGAGAAATGTGCTCTCCTTTTGCTCTTATAAGGCCAGTGTTTGGGATGGTCCCAGATGATGTTTGTGTCTCACCCTCTCTTACTTTCTCCCCCCACCCTTCCCGCCAGGATAACCACGAGGAGGACTATTTTCTCTATGTGGCCTACAGCGATGAGAGCGTCTATGGCAAGTGAGGCTGGTCAGCAGGTGCATAGGCCAAATGGACTGAGAGGAATGGTGGGAGGGGGGATCCACGGCGGAGAGGAGGAGGACTGAAGCGATAACTGGAAGGGAACCACATGCCTAGTGCCCTCATTTTCACACACATGGTGATTTCTTATTACTCTTCATGTTACTTTTTCTGTGGGGTGGGGGGAGGAGGGAGGAAACGTGGCTTAGTGGAGTGAAGGGGCTGAGCTGTGTGACTGGGAGGTCCATGGTATGGCGTTGGGTTAGCTGGAACAGCCCTGCTAAGCAAGCCAGACTCACAGCTTCCAGGTTCCCTTTGCGGAGGGAGGGAAGGACTGCTGGGGACCCTGTGCGCACATTCTCTGGATGTGGGAGTGACTGTGTTCTGTGGTCCCTCTCATGTTGATTTTCATCATCTAGCTTGGGCATTCAAGTATGACATGTGCTTTGGTGAGCTGTGTCCCATTTGAGGTTCCCTATGCTGGACATCCTCAACCTCGCCCATGCATAGTTCCCCTACTGCTCTGTTAACCTTTCCTTCACCAAGGTTTAGGGATTACCCAGGCTGAGATGAGGAAGGTGAGGGGTTTTTTTTGTTTGTTTGTTTTTAATAACTGCATTTGTGGGCTGGACCAAACACCAAGACTGGCTCCCCCTGCTCTTTTCATTGCAGCCTCACCTAATACGTAAGCCCTTTACTTTCATTCTTCCCCTCCAGGTCTTATGTATAGATCTTGTGTGGCCCCCAAGAGCAGAGTATTTCATAGCCATGCACACATTTGGTCCTAGGCTTCTGATGTTAGGCAATTATGCTACACTGTGAACAAGCAGTGAATCTATATTTTGGGGAGGGTTTGCCTGAACATCATCAGGAGAGACTTTTCAATTTTTTTATTTTATTTTATTTTTGAGTCAGTGTTGCCCTTACAAAGGTGGCAGAGAAATCTCATCCCATTCAGGCCAGATGCTGAGAGACCAAAGCAGTGCTTTTTGAATGGCACAAACAACTGATGTCTCTAGAACTGCCATCAGTCTAATCCGGGGGGTAGGAGTTGAATTTTGGGGAAGTTCTATGTTGGGATTTGAGCAATAATTAAATAGTTGAATATAATTACTGTAAACATTCTTCTATTATTGGGGGTTGGAGGCAGAGATCTAGATGTAGGAAGCAAACAAGAAGGATGGGAAGAATAGATGGACTGTAGATGAAGGGGAAAATATGACAAACATGTTTTAATTTCATAAGATGATTTTACCCAAACTCATATTTTCCTAGGAGGATGAGAATGGGGGCTGAAAAAATAGGTTAGCACTTCACTGAAGCAGACAAATAAGCTGCTACCCTCTGGCGAGGTGTTGGAAATTTGTCATGATTTCCCTTTCTAACTTTTTGAATGGTTGTTCCACTAAAATGTGTAGAAATAGAAGAGCATGTTGTGGATCAAGACTGAGGGGCATACGCAGAATGGTGTTGGAAACCAAGGGTTGGAATAGCAGGAGGCTGCAAGGCAGGGCTGAGGGGCACTGGCAGGGCTGTGTGGGGAGCCCAGGGCAGGAAAAGAGGGGCAGGGTCATGGCAGGAGGTACTGCAGTGAGGACTGAGATGTTTTGCTTTAGAAAGGGGAACGAGAGGTGAAAGCTATAGATAAGTGTTCCCTATTTGCAATCTGAGTTCAGGTTTGCTCTTCTGTCACACTCCTCATAAGGGATTGCCCTCTGGGATAATCTCTCACACAAAATATCATTAAAGATCCCTTTCGGTGTTTACTAGGTTGTCATGACATAATTCTCCCTGAGCCTTCTTCCCTCCTCTCCTCTCTGCTTACTGGGGTATTTCTTTCTCGTTTGGATGGAAATCCATATTGGTCTCTCATTTCACAAGCTCTGAATGTTCTGAAGGTTAGAAAATCCCTTTGGGTGAAGATTGGCTGCAGCTGGGGGTGGCATTTGCACTTCTCTCCCCTAGTCTTGTGCTTGCTCACACACTTATCTCCACTTGTGTGTTCTCTCACTCACACATACTTTCGCTTGTGCATGTCTTGGGGACACAGCTGCAACCCCGGGTGTTTGATTTTTGTGTCCATACCTCCCCCTAGCACTGCAATGCTTATGGGAATAATTCTGGCCATTTGTTACATGTGGGGGTTTATGTTAGGTTAGTTTGTTTAGATTATTTTAACTGGATTGCGGCATTTACCTCCATTTTTGCTCTAGTCCAATATTGTAAAAGGCGATGATGATGATGATTTTTTTTTCTGTCAGGAATTCTAACCAGCTGAAGGTTCTTGTAAAATAAAGTTCATATTGTATGGGCTAAATCTGTTAATCAATAAAGACACGTTTGCAAATCAGTGGCTTGCTGGGGCTGGATAGTTTGACATGTGGCTGGCAATAATGCTTTTCTTTCTCACTGATAATGGCACTACCTCCCAGTGAACAGGATAAATCAGAGCTGCTCACTACTTCCCTTTTTTATAACACACCAGAGTCCTCCGCACATGTGTACATTCTGTGGGTGAGTGTCCATCCCACCTCCTATGGATTCTCTTATTGATCTGTCTCCTCTCCCATCTGTGCTCTATGGCATAGGCATGAATCATTGAAGGACCAAAGCTGTGTGAGGACCTTGAGTGGTATGGGCTGGGCCATGCCCTACTACTTGAAGTGTAGGAAGCAAGTCAAACAGCAATAAGCAGGGAGAAGACCGCTCTCCAAATCCAGCACAGACTGGGACTTGTGGCAGGCCTAGGCTATGTCTCCATTGGGAAGGTTTGACAGCAAAAGTAATGCGGACAGGCACCAAAAGTGAAAACTGGTCAAATCAGTTTTTCTGCCTCCCATTGTTTCATGGTCACATTGCTAGAACTCTGTCCATAGAGCAAAGCAGGGTGGGTGAACATCCCACAGAGCAGTGTGGTGGAAAGGCAGAACTGATCCCTACGCCTCTTGGGTTTCCCTTCTCTCCATGCTGAGGAATGTCAAAGCAGCACAGCAGTCTCTCCAGCCCTCCCCCTGCAGCAGCAGACTTCCTGCCACTAGGGATGTAATAGTGTAGTTGATTAACCGATAAGCAAAAGCTTATAGGTTAATGCTATAGACTACACGCATTTCCCTCTCCCCCTCTCCCTATCAGTAATTTTTTTAGCAGATTGGCCAGCAGCTTGGCTCAATCCTGGCTTGCAACGGGTCTGGGACCTACCCATGCTGCGGCTCTCCATTTAAAGTGTATTACGAGCCAGGCAGGCTGGCAGCTTGGCTCACGCTGGGTCCAGGATCTACCCTTGTTTCAGCTCTGCATTTCAAGTGTATTAAGAGCTGGGTGGGCAGGCAGCCCAGCTCAGTTCTGGCTCAGGCCAGGTCCAGGAGCTCAGACCCCACTTAGACAGGGATTGCTGCCACCTTGCTCTGTGCTGCTGCTTCTGAGAGAGACAGGCAGCAGGTCCATGAGGGGAGCTGGTTTTTAAACCTGCTCCCCTCACAGACCAGCTACTACCTGGCACTCCGCACTGCTGCCTCTGATACACTGGCTGGCGGCCCCACCCCCGAGGAAAATCTCATGAAGTTACTCGACTATTCAATTAACCGATATTTAACATCCCTGCCTGCCACTGTTTTTCTAGTGCAGGGCAGAATGGGAGCATTCCAATGATTTGCTCTTTATTTCCCAAATGGAGCAGCTCCCTCAGCTCTCAGGGTGTGTCTAGACTACAGGGTTTTGTCGACGAAAGTGGACTTTTGTCAACAAAGCTAAACCTGCATCCACACTGCCTTTGAGTTGTGTCGACATAACTTCAACATAACTCAGCACTTTTGTTGCCGGCTGTAAACCTCATTCCACGAGGAATAACTCCTTCGTTGACGTAGTTCTGTCGACAAAAGGGCTGTGTGGATGCAGGGGAAAAGTTATGTCGACAGAAAAAGCCTCCAGGAAGGACGCCTGGTGGACACTCCTGCCACAGCTTGCAACTCTACTGTTCCTGCCTGCAGCCATCTTTAAAAGGCACAGGCACCCAGAATCAGCAGCCTGGCTGCAAGACAGCTCCAGCCAGGATCCTGACTATGCAGCTCTTCCTGGTAGGGGCAGTCAGGAGACATGTCGCAGGGACAAGCCCCCCAGGAGTCCCCGGGCCCTTCCAGGGAAACATCCCCCCCGCCACAGGAACCCTGGGGCACTAAACGGGAGGCACCCTCCTGGTCTGGCTCTGAGATTAAAGCCCTTTTGGAGCTGTGGGCTGAGGCAGCGGCTCTTCAGCTCCCACAGGCCAGGAGCTGAATGTGGACATTTACAGCAGAATGGCAGATGGCCTGGCCAGGAAAGGCCACCACCCCCGCACGGCACTGCAGGTCAGAGCCAAGGGGAAGGAGCTGAGGTAGGGTACATCAGGGCCTGTGAGCGCAGCTCCCGCTCCTGGGAAAGGCCATACACCTGCACCTACTACAAGGACCTGGATACGATCCTGGGGGCAGGGGAACCCTTGCCTCCCAAGAAGCTTGTGGAGTCTGCCATGGAGACCCCTGTGCAGCAGCAGCTGCAACTCCTGCCAGATGACCCGGAGCTCCAAGAGGAGGAGGAGGAGGAGGACAGCACCAGGAGCACCCAGGAGCCAGATGCCCAGACACAGGAGGCCTCCCAGGAAACTTTGGACACCGAGGAGGGAACAGCAGGCAAGTGCTGTGAGGGTCCAACACGCACAGGGCAGGGCAGGCGGGAGCAAAGTGTACGGCGCAGTACTGTGACTTGTCATGCTGATCGCAGCCTGGGGGAAGAGGGGCACACGCATGGCTGCCCTCAGGGACAGCCGTCCTGCCCCTGCACCCTCACAGCTGCTAGGTACCACCTGCTCCTGCAGACACTGATGCCAGGGGCAGGCATGGGTCGGGGATGCTGGGATTGCCTCACAGCTGCAGGCCTCTCAGCAACCTGTGGGAACCCCAACCATGCCCTGACACTTGTCTGTGCTGCTCAGCCATGGGGTGTGTGCGAGGGGGGGCAGGATGGTGGCCTGCACACCTTCTGGGCTCCAGGGAGGCTGTGGCTGCGGGCCAGGCCACACCATGCCTTACATGAGCAGCCTCTGACCCTAGGACAGGCACTGCTTGCTGACAAGAAGGAGGGCATGCCCTCTCAGGGAAAGGGTGATCATGTATGACTGACGACTTTTCCCTCTTGTCCTCCACAGCCGGTCCACCTGACCAGGAGGGGGAAGCCACACCTGCCCCACCACCCAGACAGCCACAGGGAACCCAGCGGCACTGGTGCACCAACACGTAGGAGTCTTGCAAAGGATGCAGGACTCCATGGAGAGGAGGCTGGAGGCAGAGGCCGATGGCGCCAGCAGTTGCTGGTTGAATTCACCCAGCAGAGCAGGGATATCTGCACAGCAATCGGGGAGGCCATGGCCTTCCGCAGTCCTGTGCCTGGTCCTGCCCCTCCTCCTCAGCCTGCCCACCCCCCAGACCCTGCTCCCCCCTCAGCCCCTGCCATCCCAGACCGAGGTACAGCCCCACCTCCTGCCCAGCCCCCTACTGTCCTAGCCAGGTGTGAGGTGTGAGAAGGCCTCCACAGCCGAAGTGCCAGGGGCTCTTCCTCCAGGCAGTCCCCTCAGCTCTGAGCCTCCCTCCCCCCTTCCAAGTTGACATTCCCCCTTCCCACCTGGGAGTCACTGAGGGAAGCACTTTAGTTTGTTTACAAATACTTTATTTGGTTTGAACAGAAGAGTTTTATATTGTCTCTGAACAAAAGAGTTTTATATGTTAGTTTTTCAATGAAGGAACAGTGCAATAAACAGTTCGAATGTTTTCACCAACCCCTGTCTCTGTCCTCAGTGTGTGAATGGGTTTTGGGGAAGAAGGCATTGGGGACATGGGGTAATCCCCCACAGTTGGAAGGCCCTGGGGAAACTCATTGGCCTCCATGGGAGAACTGCTTTCTCAAGGCTTCTCGAATGCGCAAACCCAGCTGGTGGGCTTGCTGGCCGGCAGCTGTCTAGGGCTACTCAAAGTGTCCCCCCTCCACATCAGCCCTTGACCCCCATGTTCTCCTTTCCTTTCCACCAAGTTGTGCAGCACACAGCATGTTGCAACCACATCAGGGAAGTTGTGTTCCCCCCACATCCAGCCGTGTGAGCAGGCACCTAAACCTGCCCTTCAGATGGCCGAAGGCGCACTTGCCTCCAGGTGTAGTCCTATTGAGGCGGGAATTCCCTGCTCTCATCCAGGTGGTCAGTGTAGGGCTTCATGAGCCAGGCATGAGAGGATAGGCCACATCAGCCACGATGCACGTAGGCATCTGCACATCCCCGACTGCCGGTTCCTCTCTGGGAATAATGCTGCAGCCTGCGGTACAGGTAAGAGTTCCTGCCCCATCGTGTGCCCGGCCTGACCACCCGACACAAATGTCAGTGAACTGTCCCTAAGTTGACCAGGGCCTGCAACAACATGGAAAAGTAACCCTTCCTGTTGATGAACTGTGCTGCTCAATGGAGCGGGGTGCAGATGGGGATGTGGGTCCTGTTAAGTGCTCCACCACAAAGCTGGCCAAAATGGTCTGCAGGTCTCCAAGGCGGACGGTCCTGTGGAGCAGCTCAGAATTGATGGCTGTCACCACCTGCAGAAAGGGACAAATAGGAACACACAGAATGGGACATTAGAGGGGTTGGCTCAGCTGCTGAGGGATGCTCCCCCCTCCTCCTCAGACACCACCAGCCCTGCCCCACATGACTGCTAGGTACCTGCTCCTGCAGGCACTGATGCCAGGGGCAGGCATGGGTTGGGGATGCCATGATTGCCTCACAGCTGCAGGCCTCTCAGCAACCTGCAACTGTGGCCTGACACTGTCATCCCATCCCCAATTCCCTGTGCTGGTCCTGACTGCCCCCCTGGAGTGTCCCCTGAGAGTGACTTACCTCCATCAAGACGGCCCCGACGTAGACCTCCCCACACCAAACTGATGCCCTACAGAGCCATAGCTGTCGGGGGTGGCCAGCTTCCACAGCGCAATGGCGATGCTCTTCTCCAGGGGGATGGCAAGCCGCAAGCGGGTGTCCTGGCATTGCAGGGCCCACTCGCTAGCCTAGGTTGCCCAGACCAGGTGGAAAACAATGGGATTGTGGAGCCTCTTGTTATCACTCAACAATGGAATCAGACATTCCTCAGGTCACAAGTTAAAAAGTGATGGTTTAGCTCCTGGCCCTACAAACTCAGCCTGGGATGTGAGAATGAAACTGGGCTGTTTCCATTTTTCTTGCCAAATGAGGGTCTTGGTGACACATGTGCATCCCCAGTCACCAGGAGGTTTGCAGCATATAACTGATTGAAATTTATAAACTATTGTGTTGGTTATGCTCAGGAAAGAATAGGCTCCTGGCCCCCGATCCTCAGCAATATTTAGGTGCCTAACTCACATGATTGCAATAAGAATTAGGCATCTAAATAACTTTGAGGATCAGGGCTTTGCCTCTGAACTGTGTGGATTCTACAGTGTTAACAGGAATAAAGTAAAAACTTATTTTGTTCACTAAGCTCTGCAGTTGTGATTGATACACACGGTCGAGTGGGCTGCTGTGTAAGAAGTGGTCAGTTTTATGAAGTTTTCAGAATGGAAGCACAGATCAACATGAAACTTTTACTTTGTGCTGGTGTCTTCTGAGATGGAATAATTTTTCTTTCTTCATAATGTAAATGAAGGGCCCATCACACAATGGTGGCTCTGCTAATATCCCCTATTATGATTAAAATACACGTCAAGCCTGTGGTAGAGATGGAATTTGATCACACCTGTGAACAGAACAAAGCTGTAGCAGATCCAGGGATAGCTAATGCAGGATGTACTTCTGCTGAATGAGTTAGCAGGACGCATGTTCTCAACAGTGCAGTGCGGAATTGTGTGGGAGCTGAGTTCACTGGCAAAGTTGTAGACATGGACCCACATTGTGTCTGTAAGCACACCTGTATTTTCTAATCCGTTTACAATACTCTCCTCTGGCATAGTTGCTATAGTAAGAAGGGGGCCAAAACATAAGCCTTTGTGTCAGAGGCCTGAGCTAAGGTCTGGGCTAAAATAGTCACACTTTTGCTGATATAAAGCACAGTTGTGAGCTAGAGGCAGGCACTGCTCAGAATTTGGCCAGCACAGGGCTGATACTGCAGAAAAACATATTCTGAAGCAGGGTGAGGCACAAAGCATTGGAACAAACGCCTTCTAGAAGGGTGGCACAAGCATACCCCAATCCTAGCTCATTCTCCAGAGGTAACAGGAGCACGCTGACCCATCCTATAGATGAGGGCAGTATGCCAGCACGATGGATGTTTTGATCAAGCCAACATGTACAGCAGTGAGAGACAATCTAGGCTAGTGAGGGGGCTGTGGAAGTGGCCCTCCTTCATCTCCGTGGGCTGCAAGATTGTTCTAACCAAGATGGTCCCCCGGGACAAGTCAGTTTTGCTAACTGTGCTTGTGTCCCTAGAATGTGAGAGCTGTGCCATGTGAACCAGAACAGCACTTTGACTGGATGCAGAGGGAGTGTGTGGCTCTCACAATGCTGTGTGGAATCAGCACGCACCTTACTTCACGTGTCCTTTCTTTATGTGCGTGTCACTTCTCTAACTCCAGCAGGAAAAAAGCTACACAGACGAAAACCATCAGAATCTGGCAACCCTGTGCATAGACAATGGCAACCAAATGTCTCATGGGCCCCACCTAGAACCCCAGGGGCTGCATGTGGCCTTCAGGCTGCAGGTTGCCCACCACTGAAGTACAAGGTAATGGGTAGCCCTGGATATGTCAAAGGGCAGCACTCTAATATGCCAGAGGTTGGCACCTAACTGCATATGAAGTGATACACTGCTTGTTTGCATTGATGTATACAGTGGTATCTTAGAGGTAATGTCTCTGTCTAGCTGACGGGAGAATTAAAAGTCTTGCCATTCACTGAGCTGGTCCATTATATTGGGCATACATGTGTTGGCATACCTGTACACATTGATGCAGGGAGCTGGGGCAATAAACCTAAGTGCCCTTGCATCTTAACAGATCCTGTCATCATTGGGTGGTTTGCTTGAGGTCTGCAGTGCCAGCTACCTGTGCAGAGCTGGTGCAACATATATACAGAAAACCACAGTAACAAACACAACAAAAGAGGTGTGTGTGTGGGGGGGGGTGTTCCACACACCGCCGCTCATTCACAACAAAGCCCCTGTGTGAGTGATGTTTGTGCGTCTGTTCCTGTCTCACTGTCTGCATTAGTGCCTTCTGAGCAAGGCCATAACACAGGTGTACCCAAAGAGAGAAAAAGGCAAACAGAAGAAAAGAAAGAGACACCGAGAGAAATAAATACCTCTGGGAAACTGATTTGCCTGATATATAAAATCTCATAGTGCGCATGGATATTAGATTTATAAACTTTGGAACACTCATCTACTATCTCATGCCAAAAGATTTATTGACAGTGGCTTGAAGACAGCAAGATCCAAAGAAAGCTGAGGACCCGTCTGGTTAGGGGAAATCTGATCATTAACTATGTGCTTTCGTTCATATCTCTGCACCTGGGACCCTTTTCCCATGGGCTCAATGATTCATTTCAAATAGACAGGTGGGCTGGGGGAAAGGCCAACATGGAGCCAGGGAAAATGAAAATTGTGCCAGGACTGATGGATGCCGTCTGCCCCTCTTAGTCCCACTGTGAATGGAATCCTCTCAATACAGCAGGTTCTTATCTGTGTTAAGGAAGCTGACAGCATTTTAGATGAAATACAATTAAAAAAAAAATTTGTATAAAAACAAAAAAGGTTTGGACTCCTGAAAGGGTATAAATCTCTCTCACATTCAGGTTGCAGTGGGACTGTATTAGTCCTTCGTCCCAAGAGAAATCACAAACTATGGAGGACCTTCAAAACATGAATCCTCAAGTCTCATGATAGTTGATGTAGGAACAGAATCTGGACACCATATATGAAGCAAGCAGGAGAGTTTATTACATACACAATGCTAGTGGAGTGTCACGTCGCTTGTTAGGCTCAGTGAATACTGCCAAACAATAGGTTACAAGTAATTATATAGGATGCTCAATGGGCAGATCAAGTGATGAGGAGGGGGGGAAATCCCGGACCCCCTGGATAGATGCTAATTGTGAGGCAAAATAAGTACAGTAATATAAAGTTACATAGTGTTTCTAGTAAAACAAGTATTTAAACAAAGCAGACATCAATTATGCGTGAAGTGACAATGTGTCTGTCATCTTCAGGAAGGTATCTCTGCTTAGATGTGTCCATCTGGGGATTAAAGCAGAGACATTAGGAGTACTTGACAATTGAGCATTTGTTCCTAGCACCATTGAATGTGTCAGGTCCTGTCTCCCATCCTGGGTTGTTAGCTCTATCATGACCTTTCTTCGATGGGCTAGGTGTGGGAAGTGAAGGGGTAACAATCATGTACTGTGTTCGTGTGCCAGTCCCAGACTCCAAATTTAGAATTGGGGTTCTTAACAGAATATCATAGCCTGCCTCAGAAATTTTTACCCTACAGTTGATGTTTTCCTTAAAGCTTCTGGTGTCTTGTTATTTCACAAGCTTTTCAGTGTTCTTTGAGAAAAAGTAAGTTTCCTGCCCTCATGACTACAGAATGAATGAAAGATTCTGAAACCAGAAGGAAAATTTATTATTTTTTAAATCTCAAGTTTTTAAGACAATCATGACTTCTTGGGGGCCTGACTCATGACTTTTTAACCCTTTGGGGTTAACAATACCATCTGTCCCAGGAATTTCAAAGCACAGAACTGGAGAGTTCCAGGTGAGAGTTCCAGGTGAGTTCCATTAGAGAATGGAGGTCTGAATTTCTCCCCACCCTGGGTATCCATTTACTGTGCAAAGTGGATGCAAAAATGCTACCACTTCTCTATGTGAATGAGTAGAGCATATTGGTTTGGTAGCATTTTACACATGAGAACAGCCATACTTGGTCAAAGAATCATAGAATTCTAGGGCTGGCACCAACCTCAGGAGGTCATCAAGTCCAGCCCCTTGCCCAAAGAAGGACCAATCCCAACTAAATCATCCCAACCAGGTCTTTGTCAAACCAGGACTTACAAACCTCTAGGGATGTAGATTCTACCGCCTCCCTAGGTAACCCATTCCAGTGCTTCACCACCCTCCTAGGGGAATAGTTTTTCCTAATATCCAATCTAGACCTCCTCCACTGCAACTTGAGACTATTGCTCCTCGTTCTGCCATCTGTTACTATTGAGAACAGCCTCTCTCCATCCTCTTTGGAATCTTCCTTCAATTAGTTGAAGGTTGCTATTAAATCCCTCCTGGCTCTTTCTGCAGACTAAATAAGCCCAAATCACCTCAGTTTCTCCTCATAAGTTGTGTGCTCCAGCCCCCTAATCATTTTTATGCCCTCCGCTGGACCCTCTGCAGTAAAACACATCCAGTGCTTTTTTTGTATTAAAAAAAAAAAAAAAAAAGTTCTGGTACTCTATAAGACCCAGCCGACTGTTGGCCATTTTCATTACAGAGGTGCCGGTACTCTCT